TTAACCCTGTTTGCCTCAGTTTCCTCATCTGTAAAATAAGCTGGAGAAGGAAATGACAAAGTACTCCAGTATCTTTGCCAAGAAAACCCCAAATGGAGTCATGAAGAGTTGGACATGACTGAAAACGACTCAACAACAACAACAAAGATGTGTGTGTGTGTTTATGTACACCCTAGTCTTTCTCTTGAGCCACTGCTTTACTATGACAGATGCCTTTTGGACATCGTGTACTGACTGTCCCATAGTCATCTCAAACTCAATATATTCACAACAGAATTCACTATCTTCCTGCCCCAAACCTCCCCTCTTCTGAATTTCCCAATAAGAACAAGGGCACCACTATTCAACCAATAACCCAGGCTCATATCCACAATATTATCCTCAACTCTTCATCCTCGGTCACCCCACATGTCCAATCCATTGCCAAATCTTGTCATTTCCACTTTCACATCTCTTTTATATCTCCCCTTCACTCCACTCGCACAGCCACCACCCTGCTACAGGCGCTTATTCATCCTCACTGGGACCATTGCGAGAATCTTGTCATTAGCCTCTCTGCCTCAAGTCTCTCCCCACTCCAATCCATCCCCAATTCAACTGCCAGAGTGATTTTCCTACAGTAAAGTCCTGACCATGTCACTTAGTAAACTCCAGAGATTTAAATATAAAATCTTCTGTTTCACATTTGGCCTGACCCCTTCCTACCTCCCCAGTCTTCTTACACTTTATTTCTTTTCCCATGCATTCCATGATCTAGCATCATACAACACAGGCTTACTTGCTATTCCTTAAACACAACCCTCCATATGCCTCCATGCCTTTGCATCATTTGTCTTTCCTGCCTGATCTTCTCCTTTCTGACCTTGACCTCTTAGTTTCCCCGGCTTCTTTCAAGATTGGCTCAGATCCTACCTTCTGCAGGAACTCTTCCCCAGTCTCTCTAGATGTTAGTGCCTTCCTCTCTGAGATCATCTTCTATCATATACATACACACACACACACACACACATGCACACACATACAATGCTATTTTATATTCTCCTATTTTGTGTGTATATATGTGATTCTGTTTCACATTCTAGCATGTGTGTGAAAGTGATTCCATTATTGTTTGTATATACGTGTATGTGATCCCATTTTGCATTCTATTATTGTGTGTGTATATATGTAACTGATTCTATTTTGTATTCCCTTCTCACATGTATGTGTGTGTTTACGTAAGTCTTGTATGTACCTAGTTATTGATGCATCATGTCTCCCATTTGAATGTGAGCAAGCTGAAAGCAGGAGCTGTTTTTGCCTTTTTTTGTGTCCCCAGCACAAAGCACAGTGCCTGTCATATACTAAGTGCTTAATAAATGTTTGTTGACTGATTGACTGACTGATGACTTCTCAGGGCTGTAGGCAACTCTCTAAGACTTTAAATTGGTAGAAATGCCAACCTTTGTTGATAGTGTGATGATTAAAAAATTCTGAGAGGGGCAGCTAGGTGGCACAGTGGATAGAGCACTGGACCTGAAGTCAGGAGGACCTGAGTTCAAATCTGATCTCAAAACCAAACACTTGACACTTACTAGCTGTGTGACCCTGGGCAAATCACTTTACCCCAATTGCCTAAAAATAAATAAATAAATAGAAAATTCTGAGAGACATAGTTTCTGGGTAATTTAATCATTTTATTAATAAGGCCACGATGTTTATTAATAAAAGGATGGTCATTTGGCCATCTCTCTTAGACCAAAGACCCGCTCCTGGTGGTGAGTTCACAGTTTATATAGGTATTCCTGAGGGTGGCCATCAACTCTGGTGGCAATTAACACAAAGGGGGATGGACTATATTAAAATGAGGGTCTTGGAGTATGTGACTTGGTTCACCCAAATCTTGGTCAAAGAGACAACCTCTATGTCATCTGCCTGAAAAAAGAGAGAATCAATACTTCCCCAGACCTGTCTGAGCAAACACAAGGAGCAGGAATGTGCCCATTAGCCCAAACTTAGAATTTCTTCTACTGTCTAATTAGATCTTGGCCTGGGTACTTCTCTAAGGGAGATTTCCCACACTGGTTGGTTTCTGGGTGAAGTAGAAAGGGAGAAAAACCTTGGTCCTAATACAATAATTAGTTATTAAATACAAGAGAGAAATATTAATTTCTCACAATAGGAAAAATTCTTCCCCAAGAATTCCCTGTGCCAGTGAAATCTCAGATCTAATCCCTATCTGTGTTTGTTTATTACAGGGTTGATTGAGTTTTTTTTTCCTATTTGGGGGGGATTTCAGTGGAATAATAACAATAATAAGAGCTAACATTTATATAGTGTTTTAATGTTTGCAAAGCACTCATCTGATCCTCACAACAACACTGAGGTAAGTGCTATTATTTCTATTGTACAGATGAGGAAACTAAGGCTAAGAGTTTAAGTGACTTACCTAGGATCACACAGCTAGTAAGAGTTTGTTATAGAATTCAAACTCATGTCTTCCTAACTCCAAATCCAGCACTGTGCCACTGGGCTGTGGAGGAAACTAGTGATAGGGAAGTTAAAAAAAAAAAAGGGGGAGGGTCATTGAAGCATTTTTTTTTTTTTTAATGCAGAAAAGAGAACAGATGTAAGTTCAGGAGAAATAGTAGAGCAGGAAAGCTTCGAAACTAAAGGAGTTTTAGTTTTAGTTTAGTTAGTTGTTTTTTTTTTTTTAAAGCAAGCTGTGCATAATAGAAATTCATGGTTTGAATGGTTTTTTCATGTCCGACTCTTTGTGACCCATTTTGGGCTTTCTTAATTCTTCTCTTTTTTCTTTTTAGGCAACTGGGGTTATGTGACTTGCCCAGGGTCACAGTAAGTGTCAAGTGTTTGGTCTGAGATGCGATATGAACTCAGGTCCTCCTGACTTCAGGGCCAGTGCTCTATCCATTTTGGGGCTTTTCTTAACAAAGATCCTGGAGTGGTTTGCCATTTCCTTCTCTAGCTCATTTGACAGATAAGGAAACTGAGGCAAGCAGAGTTAAGTGACCTGCCCGGGGTCACAGAGTTAGTAAGTGTCTGAGGCCAAAAAAGTGTCTGCCCCCCAAAAAATGCTAGGAGAAATCTTATTAAGGATAAGACACAGGGTTATTGAAGTGTGGGGGTTAGTTAGAGAAAGATGGGAGGAAAATGGCATCTGTGTTCTGAGCTCTGGCATTCTCTCCAGTTCTCAAAACCTGCCCCGAGTTTCAGGGATCCTCTATTCCTTCACTAGGGCCTAATGTTTCCGAGAACTGTAGCCAATTTTTCTAGTAGCTCTCTGTGATTAATTATTCTTCAAAGTGTGTTGAAGGGACACAACGGATATTTGAGAGCTGAGACTACAGCTCCCTAGGAGACATATGGGGAGGTGGCAATTATTTGGGAATGAGTGCCAAGAATGTATAATACCTGATTCAATTCCCTGTTTTAGCAAAACTGTTCAGTTTTATTAAATGTCTTTGTCTTAAATTCATGATCATCTGATTTGATCTGATTAAAGAAACATCACTGGAAGCTGTGGAGCTACTATGGACCCGAGAACTGAGCAGAGAGCGCTCTTCAGAGTGCTCAGGTGCTACTTACACATTTCCCTAATGGCAACATAAACACCTTTCCTAAGTGTTCTCGAGGCTGGATTCTGTTTCTTCTTCCTCCACCTCTGGTTTTCAAGTATATCCAGGGTGAACCCCCAGACACAAACCTTATTCCAGATTACACTGTTTCTTGAGCAATCTGTAGAATTCAAAATATCTGCCATTAATATCAAGCTATCATCGGAAAGGATTGTTAAATGTCCCCTGACCTATGAGTGGGGGATTATAGTTGGGAATAAGGTTTAGAGTGAAAATTTTTGTCAGAAATACTAGCTCTTTGTTTCTGAGCCTTATGAGATCACTGTGCATTGCAGAATCTCAGATAATTATGGGTGATTCAAATGGGACTCCCAGTGATCATTTTTGCTTGGGACATTGGAAAAGTTTTGTGTGACAGCCCCACCCCTTTCCCTATGACCCTCAACTCCTCCAATCCCTCCTGCATACACAAAATGGGGGGGGCGCGCACGTGACACAAAGAAGAAATCTCAGTTGGGTCTCTAAGTATACTCTATTTGAGCTGCCATATTCAGCTTAAAGTGTTAGGCTAACACGGGAAAATTTCCTCATGGCTGGAAATAGAGAGTCCTTTACAGCAAGTCATGGGAAAATACCTATTTATAAAACCTTGGGTTTCCAGAGTGAGGGAATGTCTCTTTCCAGGGAATGAGAAGGAGCCAGGGCAGAGGCATGAATATTCTTCAAGCCTTAACTAAACTCAAGTCACAGACTAACCCCTAATTTGGTTCACAGAGTGAACTTTAACACATAGTCACAGACCAACCCCCTGGGTAATGCAAGTATGATTTATACCCATTTTGCAGATGAGGAATCTGAGGCTCAGAGGGGTGAAGTAACTAGTTCAGGGTCATACAGCTAATGTCAGAGCCAGAACTCAAATTCAAGTCTTCCAACTCTTAAGACTAATACTCCTCAGTAATGCACAGTGAGATATACACTACTATATAAATACAAATGTAGATGGGTGTACATGCTCACAGAGTGATGCACACACAGAGGTAGATTTAATCCGACACAGAAACACAGCTGGACCATCTCTCTCTCTCTTTCAACACATACACAGACACACACACACACAAAATTTTTGTTGAGGACAAAACTGAAATTATATGAAACTAAACAATTTATCAGGGCAGCTAGATGGTATAGTGGATAGAGTGCTGGGTCTGGAGTTAGGAAGACTTCCTGAGTTCAAATCTGGCCTCAGGCACTTACTAAGTGACCCAGGACAAATCACTTAACACTGTTTGCCTCAGTTTCTTCATCTATAAAATGAGCTGGAGAAGGAAATGGCAAACAACTCTAGTATCTTTGTCAAGAAAACCCTAAGATGGGTTACAAAGAGTAGGACATGACTGAAAACAACTGAATAACAACAAACAGTTTATCAAATTCAACAAGCTTTATTTCCTCTGTTTAGGGAGACATTTCCTGGGACCTTGGGTCAGGGGAGCAGGGCCAGAGCAGTTCTGGAGTACGTGCTGTGTTTGCACATGTTCCTGACCTTGCCCAGGCCATCCTCCCTCTCCCCAAGCCATCTGGTGGTTACGTTTGACAACCAAGATCCATGGATTCACAGAATTCTCCCCCATCCTCAGCCCCATGGGGGGGGGGGGTACACAGATGTTGTCCAACCACCCAGGTGGTGCCTGCAATCCCTCCCCATCCATGGCAAGTCATACCTCATCCAGAACATTTGGAGAAACTTTGGCAGGCCCCTCTTAATCCCATGGAGAAAATAAGGCCCAGAGAGTTTTAAGTGACTTTTTCAAATTCACCCAGCAAGACCGAAGCTTGCCAGCCAGGCTTCCTGTTTTGTGCTCCCCATGTTACCCCTGGTCTGTTTGGATATCCCTTGTCCATTCCAGCTTCACTGTCCCACAAAGAAAGCTAGCTGGGCTTTCAAGGTGACAGTATTGGGAAAAACAACAGTTCACAGGGTTACAAACTATTTTGCTCTTTGGAAAGTATGGGGGAAGGAAGAAGCTGCCATAGGTAAACAAGCATTAGACACCCACCCATGGGTGGTCAGGCTGCTGGGGTTTTGCTTATGAAAGTCTCTCCTCCCAGAGACACACAGGCAGAATGAGAGGAGACCCAGACTAAGGAATGAGACACCTAGACAGAGAATGTTAGGACACAGTGTCTTATAAAGGCAGGAGGGAAGACATGTACACAAGAGTGAACGTCCATCTATGTGGGGGTGTAAATCCTAGGGAGAGATAAGCATTTCATTGCTACCCACAGGAAAGGTTTCCGAGTTGACTGGGTATATCCTCTGTAGCAACAAGGTGGCTCCTGGCTCTGGAAAGCTCATTTCCAGATTCTACTGACACTTCCTTCCAGGGAAGCACCCAAGTCAAAGGAGGGAGGGGGAGTGGAATTTGGCTTTTTGGACAGATCTCCTCCTCCTTGCAGCCCTCTTGGCTTCCTCATGGACAGACCAGAGAGGTCAGGTTTGGAACCTGCAGCCTCAGGCCTTTGATCATTGGGGGATGGGCTTTCCGAGGAGTCAGACGAGATAAGAGATAGCTATGACCTTGAGATGGTGCCCACAGTTCAGTGGCTCTTAATCGCTCAGGAACTCTTTCTCCTAACTTCCTACCTGCCTGTCCATCATTCATCCGCTCAAGTGATGGAGATACAAATACAAAAAGTAAAGACAGTCCCTGGCCTCAGTGATCTTACATTCTAATTCTATACCCAAAGAAGGGTGGTGGCCAGGAAAGGTCACTTAGGTGGGATGGTTAGAGAGATCATGAGCCGGGTCTGGAGGAGTCAATGGAGAAAGAACACCGCCAGAGTTAATGGAATCATGGCTCAAGGTTCCAGAAGGGAGGGCACGGGACAGAGAGAAGAAAAAGAAAGGGTACCCATGCGCAGGGATAAGAGGAGCTGTCCAGAGAGCAGGGGGTAAAAATCGAGGCTAGCTGAGACTTTTCTTGACACAGTGGTCCAGAAGAGGAAGTCACCAGTCAGGGAAGCAGGAGCCCAGAGTGGACACTTCTCCAGGGTTAGAAGGTAGCTGGTGAGGCTGCGGAAGGAGCTGGCTAGAGACTCTTGAGTTTCAGTTCCTGCCCTTGACCGACTTTCAGCTCTGGCCTTCCCCAAAACGAGTGTTGGCCCTTGGTTACCATACTAGTTTTGGGGTTCCAGGGTGCTCAGGATGGAACCCACAGGCGAAAGTAGAATTCTGACATCTGATCACCTCCATCCATCCTGTGAGCACTTCTGGCTATTTATATTACAAACGAGTCTTTAAGTCTCTTGCTTCAAAAGGGCCCAGAAAATGTTCCCATCTGAGTTATTTCTGTAATAACTCTCTCTCCGTATTATCTGCTGAACTCTTTTTGTCACCAAGTCTTCTAAGAAAGCAGCCGCAGCTCACGCTCAAACAAGTCCATGGAGGCTGAGGCAGGATACCGTCCCCTTCTGGATCTGCTTACGGCTCAGTCACGTAGGAAGCCCTGTCTGTCCCTACAGGAGGGTCAGGTGGGAGCAGGCACCGAGGTTCACACCCCAAAAGCTAACTGGCTGTTTGGGAGTCCAGGATCTCGGCCATCTCCTCCAGTTCTTCCAGCAGCTCAGTGAAGGATGGCCGCTTCAAAGCTTCCAACTGAGAGATGGGAAAGAGAAAAAGAATGGGATCCCACAAAACTCCTGCTACCCACAGGTCTCCTGTATCCTGAGGGCCTACCCTGGCAGTCTCTAGCAATGGGCTGGGTGTTAGAAAGAGCTACCCTATTAAGGGTTAATCATTTCCCCTAATTACTGGGTGGGGATCTCTTAGAGACCCCTAAGGAGACAAGAACTTCCCCATGGCCACACATAGGTTCCAGAACTTTGGGAACTTTCTCCTAGGGCTGACATGAACAAGAAAAAAAACAAACAAAAACATCTAGCATTTATGTAGACTTTAAGGTTTGCAAAGTGCTTTCTGAAAGTTATTTCATTTGCTCTTCCCAATAACCCTGTGAGGTAGTTGCTATGATTATCCCCATTTTATAGAAAGCAAAGTGAAGGTGAAAGAAACTAAGTGACTTGCTCAGTGTCACACAGCTCAGGTCTTCCTGACTCCTCACCCACTGCACCACCCAGCTAAAGCTATTACGACATGCTGGTTGACACTCATTTCCTGGATGGCCTAGGCTGAAGCCTAATGGGATATGGCGAGGGTGGGAGGGCAATGGACGTACCCGGCAGCAGCTGGCAGCCAGATCTAGGATACGTGAAGGGCACTCACTGACCATCCCTTGGAACGCAGCCACATCTAGTCCATAGTCCTGGGTGGGGAGAAAGGTCAGTAATGAGACTGTGCCCAGCAAGGAAAAAGCTCCCATAGAAATCTGCCTCATCCTATCCCCAAATACACCCACAGAGGAAAAAGGAGAGAACCCACAATTGAACCTTCCCTCTCTCCCCACCTTGAGTGTCAATGACCTGTCATCAGCATTTCGGTCCCCACCTCACCTGGCTCCCAGCAAGCTCAGTCGCCCCAAGCTCTCTTAGCCTAGGGGCACTATAGGGGTTAGTTGGGGATTCCTGCCTGGAGTATTTCTTTATAATCACTTCATTAGCTAACATCTGAAGTGACCAAGACATTCTCCCAGAACCCAGCCCATAAAGAGATTTCTGGAGGGGATGGGGGGGAAAACTCCAGAAGCAACTACCCCGGGATCCCCCAGTCCTTCTCCCAAGCACAGAACTGTTCCCTCACTTTCTCCCCTGGGCCTGAGGAAAATTCAATTCAACTAACATTTATTGAATACTTCCTGCTTGCCCTAGGGAATGCACAGATAAATATGGGATGGTCTTTGCCCTCAAAAAGCTGTGGGGTTCCTATCCAGAGTCGTGGAAACTCAGGCCATTAAACAACCATCACCTCTAACTCCAACGCTTGTACCCCCAGGCGTTCCCATTGGAACCCCCCCAACTCCCTTCCCGTTCTTAGCCACTTAAGGGGCTAATCAGCTTCTGGGGAATTTTTTTCCTCATTCTGGGTAATACAAAGGACTTGTTTCTGGTCTGGGCCTGGGGGAGTCCTTTGGCTGTTCAGTCACTAGAAGGCTCATATATATCTTGGGGATACCCCTGAGAGCCTGGGGGAAATCCAAGAGAGTTCCCTGAGTTTATGCAGGTGACTTCCATGTAGTTTTAATACCCTGCACTCCAACTGCTCCCTTTACAATAATAACCCATATAATGATGTTTGTGTGACTCACCTGTGTCCGGGGAAGAACCTCAGGGTCAGCAGGAATCCGACCCAGGATCTCACATAGGACAATGCCAAATGAGAACACATCTACCTGTCAAGGCCAAAAAACAGGGAGGAGGAGGTGAGGCAGCAAGGGAGACCAGGAGCTGCCTTCCCAATAGCTCACTGAGAGGCCTTCAGTGACAGGAGGCAGATTCTCTAGAGCCTTAACCTCACTCAAATGGAATTCTACCCTTAGCCCCCTCAGCATTTTGGAAACAGTTCAATTGATACCAACACCACCTTCTATTTCCTCATGAGCTAATTTGAAACTTTCCTCTTTCTCCCAGTGTGGGTGCTTGGGACTGGTGTAGGTGGGAACAGCCTCCACATCCCGGGACACATTTTTGGGAAAAGGAGAAAATGGGTGTGTCTGTCCAAGCAGGGAAAGACCTGTGGCCAAGATCTCATCCCAGAGGCTCCCACACCCTGTGGCTGGGCCAACAGAACTTTGGCTACTGCATTGCATAATAACAGTTGGTCTCAGAAATTTTATCTGTCCTTAATATGTATTTAAGCATATGGTTTTGCTTCTTAGAAATGCGGTAACTGCAAAGATTCTCTTTCCTCATTCCGAAGAACATAAATGCATCAATAGCGCTCACTACAGAATATATGCAGGCATACACACATTTATACTTAGTTACATTAATAATGATAATAGCTAATAACAATCGCTAACATTTACATAGCTCTTATCATGTGCCAGGCACTGTGCCAAGTGCTTCACAACTATTATATCGTTTGTTCCTCACAACAACCCTGCAAAGTGTGTACTATTATTATACCCATTTTACAGCAAGGAAACTGAGGCAAAGAGAGTTAAGTGACTTGCCCAGGGTCACACAACTAGTAAGTCTCTGAGACTGAATTTGAATTCAGTTCTTCCTGACCTTCAATCTACTCTAGTTGCCCATACATATCAGGCCTTAATCCTTTGTTAGGATGTTTGTGTATTAAGAGTTTATTTCTCCCTACCCTTTTAGAATCAGAGCTAGCATTTCAAGATTAATCCCAAGATAGGGGAGGGAGAGGGAGTTAGAAAAAAAAAGTATCAGCATTTCCATAGGACCTTTGATTCCTCACTAAAGTGAATAATTAAAGGCCATTTCCAGTATCCTCCAAGTGTTAACTATCCCTTCCTTTCTGGCTTCCATCCCTAAAGCCAGCCAAAGTCTTTTCCCAATAATAACCTCATAGGTAAGTGACCATCTGGGCCCAGAAGGCCTTATAACACTTAGCATCATAGATGAGACGTTCCTTATCCCAGACTCTTTTCCCCCTGAACCAATTCCTGGGCTCAAAGACTCCAAAGAGTACCTCTGAAAGGGAAGATAAATAGATAATACCTTATTCCCCATCAGTCACCACCCTGGAATCCCTCCAAAAGATCCTAACACCTTAGAGAGGGACTTTTTCTATACAAAAAAGGGAATGCTGGGAAGCCATATCTAGTGCTGCTACGACAGAGTTCCAGTCGGATTTGGAGGCCAGCTGCAGCACCCCACCCCTGGCCCTGGCTGACCATTCAGAATGTCTTTTAGTAAATCGCTTTTGGACACATAAGTCTTGTGTGTATGTGTTTCCTTTTCCCCACCCTTGTGCAAATGCAAGACTTTACCATATAATCAAAGGCACTGGTTGCCAAATGAAGGAACTGAAACGGCTGAGAGAAACTGATCTTAGCCTATTCCTTGTTTATAAATTGCTCAAGCTTAGAGAGCTCTCATTCCACTTGCAGTGAGTGGCCCTAATGTATACCCCTTCCATAAGTGATGGGTTGGCTCACAACCTGGCTTCTGGAGGACTAGAACGTCAGGCCATACCTTCCGGTCATATGGCTCCCCCCGGAGCATCTCAGGGGCCATCCAGAAGGCAGAGCCCACCAAGGACAGCTTCCTCTCAGGGTCTGAGGCAGGCACCTCCACCACTTCCCGGGCCAGACCAAAATCAGTAACCAGGGCCTCCCGGCCCCGAGATGTAACACGGATCAGGCAGTTCTGGAAGGAGAAACTGAGGTTGGAAGACCTGACAGATCGTCCATGGATCATTGCCCAGGCCCCCCACACCCTCCTTGACTTATCTGGGTCAGACATTCTGGGTAACTGTGCCCCTGCCTCCTCCCCTCATGGGGCATCGCTGTAAAGAAAGGCATGGCTTCATCACTTCTTCCTTCTCATTCCCTCTCCCTCCCTCAACCTTTGGATCCTGGAACCACCTAGGCATTACATGATCTTAGAAGATAAAAAGTAAGGACGCCTCAGGTTCCCTCTGCGCCCCAATATTCCCCTCTGAATGATGAGAGAATAATGTCACCCAGATGTAAGACAGGCCCAACCTACTGTTGGTAATTTGAATGGGGGCGTAGGTTAGACTTAGGACTCAGCCTTTCCTTTCTGGAATAAGGGTAAAAGAGACAAAAGCAATGACTAGGGCTAATGAGGGGGTGGGTAGCAGGGTCAAGGCTTCCAACGAACACAGGAAAGAGGAGAGAGGCTGGAGTTTGGGTGCTGGGGCTGAGGGGGTCAGAAGGAGCAGAGCTATAGATGTAGCAGCTGCTGACTCCAGGCCAGGAGCCAGCACAAGGGGTCTCCACCTGCCCCTTACCTTGGAGTTTAGGTCCCGATGATAAATATTCTTGGAGTGTAGATACACCATGCCCCTGGTAATGTCACAGGCCAGAGCCACCTTCTCCTTCCAGCTCAGAGGTACCTCAGCTCTGGCCAGCAGTTCTTCCAAGCAGCCACCATTTACATACTACAGGGGGAAAAGGGGGGAGGGGCACTCACCCCAGTATGACTTGGTGTGACCCCTGGGGATACTGGGCCAAACCTGGCTAACCATCCTATGACCCCTTGCCACAAAAGGGTCCTGGAGACAGGGTCCCAATCTCATTCCACGTAACAGGCAAAGAAAGGAGCTTAAGAGATCCACTGCCATGGTGTGGGACCTCAGGCTAATCACCTCCTTTTCTGGGCCTCAGTTTCCCATATCTGTAAAACTAGGATGTTTGGCTCAATGGTCTTGGTTTCTAAGCTCCCTTAAGTTCTGACATTCTGAAACATCCATGTCTGCTTTCTGGGAACCCCCAAGTTCAGGGAAAGCAACTAAGTGGTTACATGCCTGATCTGGAAGCCCAGAAGCCTGGGCTTCCTTTACACATTAGCCTCTATCTGCTGTGTGGCTATGGCCAAATCACCTGCCCATCTCTGAGCTGTCTTCTCTCCTGTGGAATGGGACGACAGGGAGCATCAGACAAGGGGTCTGGGGCTTTCCTCCCATGGGGGCTGTTATCACCAGAGAGAGAGAGTCTCACTAGTCAGGCCAGGGTTGGAGGAGTCCTGTGGAAGCCAGGGGATGGATGATAAGGACCTTCCCCACTCTCACACTCAGCTCAGCTCAGCTCTAGCCTGGGCTCTCCTTGGCTCTCACCTCCAGGATCGGATACAGCTTCTCATCCCTCACACAGATGCCGAGGTACCTGCAGATGACATGGCCACTGACTTGGACTCTTCTCCCATCCTCCCCCCAGGTCCTCTAAGCCCAAGCTCTGATCCCACAAGAATACTGACCAGATAACCACACTGTGGGCAGCTGCGAATACCAGCAACATGGCGCTGCTAACAACACGCCAGTGAGTGTGAGTGTGGCAGCATGTGATGAGATGCTGCCATGTAATGTAACCCTGCGTGTAACCTGCTGGCATGTAAGGTACTGCTGCATTACGATTGAAAGTGTACCTGGCCGTGACAGGTAGCTACACGTAACACGAGGCTCCCTTGGATGTGAGGCTGCATGTAACATGAGGCCCCCAGGGACGTGTGGCAGAGTTTAACACGAGGCAGCTTGTAGCGGGTATCTGAGTCTATCTGGACAAGGTGGAGAAACCCTAGAGCCGCTGGTTCTGTTACCAAGAGCAGTTAGAGAGAGGGGAGAGCGTCTCTACAGATGGAAATGAAGATGAGCAAAATAGACACTCCTGGGGACCTGGTGCTTCTGTAAATGGGACAGAAAGACAAGCAGAAGTACTAGGCCAATAGATGTCTGCCCAGGTAGATCCAGACCAATGCAGGCTCAATAGCGTGGCCATTCGGTTGCCAAGAATCCAGAACCCAACGGGTATGGCAGCACCCCAGAGATGGCACAGAGACAAAATGTGGGACCTGGCTTCCCCCAGCTTCTGTCTGTAACTCAGCCAAGGGAGATCATTGGCTAGGGAAGCAGAGACTGTCAGACAAAGCTGGGGCATGCGTACATGTATGTGTGTGTGTGTGTGTGTGTGTGTGTGTGTGTGTGTGTGTTTGTGTGTGTATGCACACACGCTCTATTCCCCATGCTAAAGCTCTCTGGCCACATGGCTCTGTCCTTGGCTCCCATGTCCCCAGGCCCAGTGCCCACCTGACAATGTTGGGGTGGGACAGCTTCTGCAGCAAGCTGATCTCCCTCAGGATGACCAGTTGGTCCACATCGTTCTTATAGATCTTCACCACCATCACCTTGCAGGTTGCACTTTGAGTGACCTGGGGGAAGCATTGAATTAAGTCCTTGGGCAGCATGGCAGTGGCCTCCTCACCCATACCAGGGTTTCCCACATATCCATCCCTCTTCTCATTCATACACTCTACAAACATTCGTTAAATGCTTACCTTGTCCAAAGCCCTGTCTCTAGCACTGGGAAAAATAGAAAATCATTTAGGAAAGACACTGTCCCTACCCTCATGAAGCTTACAGTCTCAGAGAGGGATTACAGCCAGGGGTATGATGGAACCAGCTCATACTGACTCTTGAGAGGCAACTTAAATTTTCACTGTGAGCATTTACACTTCAGAAATTCAAAAACGCTACATACCAAGGCTTGATTCATTATTTTGTTGATTGCCTGGACTTAAGAGAGTGATGGATAAAATGTTAATAATACAGTTTAAATTTGAAGATGTGTTCTGCCTTTTCAGAAAACATTGACCAGCACCCCCCTGGATAAGACCTACAAACAGATAAGTAAAACACAGAATATACATGATAAGTGCACTAAGTAGGTCTAAACAAAGCATGTTGAGTACCAGGGCCTATGTAGGCAGTCATAGAGGGTCATCTGTGGAACTCTATTCAGAAGAGGGAGATGAGGAGGTTCAAGTAGCCACAGCACACCCACTTTCAAATAAGTGGACCAGTCTGTGGCACCGGCCTCACCAGCCCACCTAGTCACCAGGTACACAGACAGTCAGTCCCTCAGCACCTTGGAAATCAAGGAGGACAGACTCTCAATCATGTTTCATGCCAGGTAGAAGTTCTCATAGCAACCCCTTCTCTTGGCCCTGACCTTAGGGTCCCTGACACACCTGACCTTCCTTTCACCCCTTTCCTAACAGAACTCTGAGCCCCAAGGAGCCAGAGGAAGGGCAACAGGGCCAAGTGACCCCCGCCTGGGCATTCATTTATTCATGAATGGAGAGGAAGTTTGATATAATACACTAGGAGTAGGGAAAGACCTGGCCAGGGTCAAATCCTTCCTCCTACACTCTCTGGCTGTGTTATCACAGTAAAGTCACTTAATCAATCTATAATCAATTAACAAACATTTATGAAATTCTTACCATGTACAAAGGCCCTGCCAGGCACTGGAAATACAAAGGCAAAAATAAAGCAGTGTCTACCCTAAAGGCTCTTCCATTCTTGGGCATGGGGGTGAGAAGACACCACAGGTACAGGACGGGACTTTGATGGAGGCTACTTTGGGCAGCCCTTTGGACAGTACGGTTCACAATCTATTGACCCATTCTTATCCTGCATGACTCTTGTCTGCGTCCTCCACAGGGGAGCCATTTAACTTTGTGCTGGAGCTCTTGGATACAAAGGCAGGCTGGAGCAGTGGGTACAAAGGCAGGCTGCTGACTCATCCTTTACTCTCGCTTCGGGTAGCGAGCCCTTCTCTCTCTCCAGTCATGCCTCCTGCCCATGGCACCCCTTGTACCACTTCTCTTGAACAATTCTTCATTGATAACCTGCCACATTGCTGTTCAGTCATTCGATTGTGGCCAACACTTCATGACCTCTTGGACCATACTACCCATGGGGTTTTCTTAGCAAAGATACTGGAGTGGTTTGCCATTTCCTTCTCCAGCAGATTAAGGTAAACAGAGGTGAAGTGACTTGTCCAGGGTCTCACAGTTAATAAGTGTCTGAGGCTAGATTTGAACTCAGGTCTTCCTGACTCCAGGCCCAGTGCTCTATCCACTGAGTCACCTAGCTGCCTAAAATGCTAGACAGATGCTAGTTATTATTGCTGAAGCCCATAGTGTACCTCTCTGTTGCCCTTTAGGTGACTCATAATTTTTCACGCTTCAGAGATAAAGAACTGTTACGATATGTCATTATCACTAGAAGGATATATATATATGTATATATATGTATATTTATATCATATATATATATATATATTTTTTTTTTAACCAAACCTATGATTTCATCAATCCAGGGAGCTAGCTTGGTGAGGAAGAACTCTTCCACAAGCAGATTAGCCTTATAGAGCTGTTGGAGATACTGGGAAATTAAGTAACTTCCTCTGGGTTACACAGAATGTGTCAGAGGTAGGACCTGAACCCAGGATCTCCTGATTCCAGGACCAGCTCTATGCCAGCCACTATGCTATAGATGATGCCATAGCACACAGAGTATAGGCCTGGAGTTAGGAAGATCTGAGTTCAAATTTGACCTCAGGCACTTACTAGCTGTGTGATCATGGGCAAGTCACTTAACTTCTGTCTGCCTCAGTTTCCTCAACAGTTACATGGGGATAATAAGAGTACCTACCTCCCAGAGTTGTTGTGAGGATCAAATGTGATAAAATTTGTACAGCACTATATAAATGCTTATTCCTTTCCCTTCCTCAATCTGGCCTCTCATAACTGAAGGAATATTGTTTCAGGGAGAAGCTGAGGATCATTCCAAGCACTGCCCAGTTTCCCAATAGCAGTCTAGCCTCCCCTCCTCCAGCTCTCTTTCTACTGTTCAATTCTGGGCTCAGATGATTCAGTGTCCAAGTCAAGATATACGCACCAGGAGCCTGGCTCAATGGGCTTGTCAATCATATTCCATATTATGGTCTGAACCATCAGGAATCTTCATCCACCTGGTTTGCTGATCAGGCTCAATTCTTTTGTGATTACAGATCTCAGTTAGGAGGCAATGTTTCAGGGCTCAATGCCCTCAGCATGATGTCATCTGCAAACAGAAGCATCTGGAGGCCTTGCCATCTGCAGGGGATCCCTCGTTGGGCTGGACATCACCCATGTCGGTGGCAAACAACTCTGATGAGCAGATGTCTTTCCGTTTTATGCCTCATTTCACATTAATACCCGGAGGCTCATCAAATAGAGTTTGAGAGGCAGTGTAATGTGGTGTAAAGAACCCTGCCTTTGGACTCAGAGAACCCAGGGTGGAGTCCTGGTTCTTGCACTTATTGGACAAGTCACTTAATCTCCCTGGGCCTTGGTTTTGTTCTCTGGAAATGGAAGGAATTGGACTAGGTGAACTTTTAAAGTTCCTCCCAAGGGGCAGCTGGGTGGATAGAGTACTGGACCTGAAGTCAGGAGGACCCGAGTTCAAATCTGGCCTCAGACCAAACACTTGACACATACTAGCTGTGTGACCTTGGGCAAGTCACTTAACCTCAATTGCCTTAAAAAAAAAAGTTCCTTCCAGTTCTAAAGCAGGTATTTGTTTTGACTATATGTGTTTGTAATTTTTTTTTTGTTTTGTTTTGGTTTTTTTGCTTTCTCAATTGGGGACAAGAATGTGGGGAAGAATATGGAAAATAAAATGAAATAAAATAAAATTTAAATTTTTTTATAATTTAAAAAAGAATCCCTCAACACTTCATAACTGTGTCACCTCCAGTATGAACATTGTGCATACTTAGTCTAGACCAAGTCCAGTCTTATTCTAGTCTGCGCATACTAAGTCCTTTTGTTGTTCAGTTGCTTCAGTTGTGTGTGACTCTTCCTGACCCCATTTGGGGTTTTCTTGACAACAATATTGGAATGGTTTGCCATTTCCTTCTCCAGCTCATTTTACAGATGAGGGAACTAAGGGAAACAGGGTTTAGTGACTTACCCAGGGTCACACAGCTAGTAAATGGCTGAGGCTAGATTTGAACTCATGAAGAGAGTCTTCCTGACTCCAGGCTCGACACTCTATCCACTTCGACACCTAACAGCCTGTCTTTGTTTTATAGTACCATTTTCATACCCTTATTCAGCACACTGTACACTGTGATGCTTGAGGCTACACATGGTATCTCTACTGCTGTCAAGAAGAGAAAAAAGAGTTTATTATGAAAATCTTCACAGATCTTTTCCATTGTCTCCCTTATTTGAGATGATTTTTCTTAGTTGGGATCTTGCCAAGCTTTCTTGGCAATATTTTTCTATTCACTGCTTCTCACAACGAATTGTGAGGTGATACTGTTTATAATATCCCATCATCCTTCTCCACAAGATTCCACAAATGAGCTACATACTGTGTGCCTTTGCCTGTCATATCTCTCTACTTGCCAAGACTGTAGATTTGCTGGCTGAAGTGGTTTTTAGAATCTTTTGATCTCCTCATTATGGGCAACTGATTTACATTGGTTTAAACTTCCTTAGAAAATGGTGATGTATGTATAATGGATATCATATTGTTTACTTCTCAAGGGGTGAGTGGGAGGGAGAGAATTTGGAACTCAAAATTTTGAAAAATGAATGTTAAAAAAATTGAGCTGTAATTGGGAAATATTTAATTGAAATAAATAAAAATATATGAAAAAGAAAATGGTAATAGCCAGTGTTTATGTCTGTTCTCTTGTCCATTTCCCATTTTTTTGGCATCAGCAGGTTGTTTTAGTAAGTCCAGCTAGAGTTGTCTCACTTATGTACTCTATGTTCTCATTTTATTAATTCATCTAATTTGATTTCTACTTAAAGAAGCTGGTATTCTGACTCTACATAAATGGTTGCTTCAGAGATGACTCTTATATCAGTAACCACTCACTTCCTTTCTGTTTAAACATAATCCATTTCATTTTTATCATGTTATCAAGTTCTTCCTTTATCCAGAATCTCCCTCTTCTTTTCTTGAAGTATTCATGATATATAGACATGAAGTTTCAATATATTCTATAAGCTTTTGCCTTTATTTCTTATTTGTGACCCATGTTTTCCAACATATTTTTGTCATCCTTTTGCCCATCTCTGAAATGAAGTCCCTAAGGATCAAGTATATGTGTCATTTAATTTTGGAGGACCTTAACAAGTTCTTCACAGAGTTTCTCTATAGCCTCAGATGTTGGTGCATAAGCTGCATTTATTTTTATAGAAATCTTTTTTTTTTTTGTGCAAATGCTTATCCTAAGTACTAAAATACGCGATGATAAACTTTCCCATGAAATTCTGTTGCCATTTCCTTTG